CCGTGACACACTTCCTCCAACAAGTTCACACCTACTCTAACCTTGTCAGCCAGGCCTTAACTCCAAGGCCTTAAGTCCTAATCCTTTCAAATAGGGCCACTCCCTAAGCATTCAAATACGCGAGCCTATGGAGGCCATTCTTATTCAAACCTTCACAGTTATCAAAGATAATTACCTCTTCTTGCTGCCTCAGCTCCTTCTCCAGAACCCTGTCTCCTGCCGCCACGCTTCCCCTCATGATGATGAAGGACTAAATCTCCGCACTGTAAGCCAGCACCAGTTAAATGCTTTCCTGTATAACAATTGGTCGTGGTGTCTCTTCACAGCAACAGCAACCCTAAGACAATGACCTTGAACTGCTAATGTTCCCAGTCCACTTCCCAGGTGTCGGGAGGTGCTACTGCACCCGGCTTGTGTTGGACCCTGCCCCACGTGTTATTTCTATTCATTCCCTAAATGTAATCAATCTATTTTCTAGTTTCACCCAACTTCTCATTGCTGTATGTTGTAGAGGGAATTGTGTCTCCCAAAGAGACATGGTCAAGTCCTAACCCCACTCGTGGATGTGGCCTTCTTTGGAAATAAAATCTTAAATTATGACATCTTATTGTATTGGGACTGATGTCCTTGTAGGTGAGAGGAGACACACAGACACAGGCATGGAGGAACATGAAGGGAGACAAAAAACACTCCTTGTTTCACGGAGACAGAGACTGAGGCAATGTGTCTACAAGCCAAGAAATGTCAAGGACTGTAGAGCCACAAAATGCCAACCACAGGCAAGCAAATTCTTAGATGGCCGCCGGACAAAGCTTGTCCTTGGACCATCTCGATTTCAGACTCCAAGCCTTCAGCATGGTGAGAGAGAAAGTTCTGGGTGGTTTAAGTTTGCAGTACTTGTTGTAGCTGTCCAGGGAAAGGACACACCACTTCTTTGTGCTGATGTTTCCTTCTGTCTGGGTGTCACTGCTGTCAAGACCTCCAGGCAAGCTATTCTGAGACACCCCCTCCCAATACAATCTTCCTCTGTGTGTCTGCAGGTTGTTTGTCTTCTTGCTGTGTGGGGGACACTCCTACAGCAAAGGAATTCTCATTTTTTTCCATAAGTACAATGGGGAGGTAAGTAACAAGCTTTGGTTCAGAGTTTTCTTCATGAAGTTTCATGAGCTGGATGCAGAATAATAAACAGTATGGCTGGATGGGGAGGCAAGCTGTTTACGCCAGAGTTCATGCTATCCCTTTGGATATTCGAGGGACAGCTTGGAGTGTGTGCGTCACACTTCACTAGGAGACTGCTTATGATCACAGGAATTTGGGGGGGGCTGCTGGCCTCTTGGGCACTGTGCAGTTCCCTCACAGGTGACACGGTGACGAAAGAAGGGGACATACCGTATGCCAGGCATTTGCCCATGTTAAGGAGTGAGGTCTACTGCCCACCATTTATCAAGTTCAGCGGTTGCTGAGACGACACTTGTTTCTAACCACCCTGAAGAAGATTCGCTCTCTGCTATGGGGTCGCACCAAGAGGCCCTGTTCACCCCTATTGTTCTTTAAAAAGAATATGATGATGGGATGCCCCGGGCGGCTCGCAGAGCAGCTTCTAGTCCGACAAGGATGGCTGTGGGTCCCTGCAAGATCTCCAGGGTGGCAGCACCATGCGGCCGGGGAAGACAGCCGGCCGATAAAAGGCTCACAGGACATAGTATTATTTAAACAAGAGGGAGATATTTATTGTTTAAAGAAGAGAAAAACAGGGGCTGGAGAGATGGCTCAGTGGTTAACAGCACTGACTGCTCCTCCAGAGGACCTGGGTTCAATTCCCAGCACCCACATGGCAGCTCACAACTGTCTGTGACTCCAGTTCAAGAGAATCTGACATCATTATACCAATGCTCATGAAATAAAGTTAAATAAAGTTTAAAAAAAAAGAAGAGAAAAACAGAGAGACATAAGAGAAACATAAAGAGAAACAGAGACACGTGTACACACGACATGTGACAAACACACAAGAGAGAGAAAGATGGCAACGGGGGGGAGGTCAGAAGTGGCTGGGGTGGGCGTGGTTAGTCCTTAAAGTGACCGCAAAGGAATAACAACCCTGCCCTTCTGTCTTCTGAAGTTAGATTCTGCTTTCAGATTTCAACTTTAGCCTGTTCAAAGCCAGTATAGTTGGGTCCTGTCGTAGCTAGTGCTTCTATTGATGTGACGAAACACCATGCCTGAAAAAGCGAAAGGAAGAAAAGAAGAAAAGAAGAAAAGGAAGAAAGGAAGAAAGGAAGAAAGGAAGAAAGGAAGAAAGGAAGAAAGAAAGAAAGAAAGAAAGAAAAGCTCACATCACAGTTTAGTTCATCACCAAAGGAAGTCAGGACAGGAGGAACTCAAGCTGGGCAGGAACCTGGAGGCGGGAGCTAATGCAGTGGCTAGGGAGGGGTGCACCCTACGGTCTTGCTCCTCATGGTTTGCTCAGCCTGCTTTCTGATAGAACCCAGGACCTCCAGCCGAGGGATGCCTCCCCCCACACACAATGGGCTGGGCTCTCCCCATCAATCACTAATTAACACAATGCCTTACAACCTGATTTATGGGTGTATGTTGGCCTCTGGCTTACAATTTTGGGATACATTATTTACTTAAAGGAATAGTAAGCATATTTTAGGAGCAACATGACAGTAATTAGTACTCAGAAAAAGAGCACATGGAGTTTTTTATTAAATGGATATGGGTGTCTTATCTGCATGTATGTCTGTGTATCAAATGCATGTGTGGTGCCCAAGGAGGCCAGAAGAGGGCGTCATATCTCCTGGGACTGTGAGCGGCCTTGTGGGTGCAGGGAACTGAACCCTGGTCCTCCAGGAGAGCAGAAAGGGCCCCTACACTGTCTCTCCAGCTCCACACATGGAGCCTCATAACACAAAAATCCGATGAGATGTGATTGATTATTCAAATGCAGAAATTCTCACAGGATAAAGTACTAACAACTTAACAGCTATCCCTGTAGCCATTTTCTATTGCTGCTAGAACAGATTCCCCTCCCCACCAACATCGCTTACAACACCGAAATCAATTTTAAAGTTTTGGAGTCAAGGCTGTTTTGAGTTGGAGCTCTCAGGGCTGTGTCGCTTCTGGAGGATTTAGGAGTGACCCTTCCCCTTTCTTCTCACTCCTAGAGCAGCTCACAGCCCTGGCTCCTGAGCTCTTCCTCTTCCGAAGCAGCTGTCATCTTCCTCCAACCTTGGGTTTCTTTGTCTTGTTTCCTACTCGGGGCTCCCCTGCCCTCTTTCACTCAGGAGGACTCCTGTGATCACATTGGCCGGGACTTAGCCCACCTTGAACTCTTTAACCCCACCTGCAATTGTTCTAGATCTATACAGTAACATTCACAGGGCCTGGGAGCGAGGGCACAGACTTCTGGTAGAGAGGAGCAAAGGCAGTGCTGGGAAATTAGCAACGGATTATAGTATCCGATTTCTAGGATTATTTGTTTAAGACAACTTCCAGATGTTTTAAAATAACATTTGGTAATAGCTTGAACATTTTAAAGGTTTATTTATTTATTATGTGTACATACATACATAATAAATGTATGCCTACACGCCAGAAGAGGGCATCAAATCTCATTGTAGATGGTTGTTAGCCACCATGTGGATGCTGGGAATTGAACTCAGGCCCTCTGGGAGAGCAGCCAGTGGTCTTAACCCCTGAGTCATCTCTTTAGCCCATAACTTGAAATTTTAATATAGCTGGGGAAAGGTCCCCTGATGTCTGATGACACACAGAGTTTTCTCCAGTCAGAATACAGCTTTCTGAATTTCATTTCTATTTAGTTGTAGCTTTTTTTAAAAAATGTGTTTGGGTGTTTTGCCTTCAAGTATATCTGTGTACAGCTTGTGTGCCTGGTGCCCACAGAGGTCAGAAGAGGACATCAGATTCTCCTGGGACTGGAGGCAGATGGTTGTGAGCCACTATGTGGGTGCTGGGAATACGCTCAGGTCCTTTGTAAGAGCGGCCATCTCTTCAACCCCCTGTTTAGCTTTCTAATCTAGCCACTTCACACACATTTCTAGGTTAGAGTTTTAAATGTACCTCCTAAATCAGTCCTTTAAAATACAAAAGTCCGAAGACTCCGAATTGCTTGCTTACAATGTGTTCAGAAGACTGATTGCAGCCAATTAGAGAGAGATGGGTAAAGCCAGTAGAAACATCAGTAGAGCAACAGCTTATGAAGCGGAGGCAGGGGGTGACCACAACTGCTGGTGTAGCTAACGGACCTCCGTTTCAGGTTCTTCGAACAGGAGCTTTACAATTGTACAGTGACATCACTACGAACCGTATTATAAAGTGGCATAGATATACACACGACACTAGGAAGTGTCAGCTGGCAGAGTGGCTTATTTCCTGTAGTCCCAGCACTCCGAAAGCAAAGATAGGAAGAACAGGAGTTTATGGGCAGCCTTGGCTACATAGTGAGTTTGAGGCCAGCCTGGGCTACATGAGACCCCGATTAAAAAGAAGCGTGGGGGGCGGGGTTGCTGGAGAGACAGCTCAGTGGTTGAGAGCTCTGCTGCTCTTCCAGGACCCACATGGCAGCTCACAGCCATCTGGAACTCCATTTCCAGAGGATACAACCTTCTGGCCTCCGAGGACACTGCACGGAAGTGGCACACAGATGCAGGGCAGGCAGGCATCCTTATACATAAAACATAAAAATTAAAAGCAAAAGAAGCCCAGCCAAGTCCCCGTATTTAGCCAGAAGAACGCGCTTTGTTTCTTAACCGCTTGTCTCAGTCAGTCAGAGCGACTTGCTCCCTGGGGACCATCAGTGATGTCTTTAGATATTTTGGTTGTCACACCTGACCCTAGTGGCACTGCACCGGGTCAGATACCAGATACCAGAGCTGCTGCTAAGACTCCCACAGCGGACAAGACAGCTTGTGGCAACATCAAGTCCTAAATGTCAGCACTGTGAAGTTGGAAAAAAAAAATGGGCTAGTAAGATGTGATTTGATTTTTGGCAGACTCTGCTTTTGCTTTAATATTTGATAAGAGGGGCAGCGTTTAAGTTGTTATTTAAGTACAGGCACTAGAGGGCACTGCCTGCTCAAAAGTTGCAGTTTCGCTGGCGGTGGGGTCTTTGCCGAAAGTAAAGCGACCTAAGCGACCAGGAGATTGCTAAAGAACTATTGGACCAGTTGTTTATCCAAAGCAGTTTCACAGCATCTGAAGCCGGGAAGGGCAGAGAGCGCAGGCTTCGTACTTTTCTCTCTATAATGATGTCTTGGGAGTTTTTACCAGTCGAAAAGGGGAAGATCTCGCTGGATTTCGCGCACGAACACCCACGTCATTGGCACCTCCTCTGAGCAGGTGATGAGAGGCGCGATTCCGGGCTCTGTGGATCACTGCAGCGCTGTGAAGTCGCCTCTGAAGCAGGGAGTCAAGCGGCAGGTGGGGCAAGGCTGATGAATAGGAACTGGCTTGTTGCCAGTCGCTCTTTCAGGGGATCCAAGTTCGGTTTCCAGCACGCACATGCTGGCTCACAACCGCCTGTAACTGCAGTTCCAGGGTATCCCATGAGGTCGTCTGACCTCTGGGGACAAGTACACAGGTGGTGCACGGACACACACGCAGACAAAACACACAAACACATAAAAAGAAAATCAATGTGAGAAAGAACCAGTTTGTTGCTTGAAGTCCTTCAATGTGCAAGGTGCCATAGCCATTCCCTCCCAAGGTTCCTCCAACTTAAAAAAAAAAAAAAAAGAAACAATTGCTTTTCTTTTTTAGTATCAGGCCCATAACTGAATTTGTATGTTTGGGTTTTTAAGATAAAAATTAGTCTCTTGGGTTGGCAGGATGCTCTATTCAGCATTGCTCCCACACCTGGCCACCTGATTCATTCCCTGGGATTCCAAGGTGGAAGGTGAGGACTGAGAGCCCCTGTCTTTTTTTAAAGACCACTTTTTAAACTGGGTATGGCAGCACATGTCTGGAGCCAGTACTGTGAGGCAGAGGCAGAACTGAGAGCTCAAGGGTCGCCTCTGTCCTCTGAGCTCCGGGCTAGCCAGGGCCACCTCTCGACAGCTACGGGCTAGCCAGGGCTACATGGTAAGATCTTTTTCTCAAAAAGCCAAAGAATAACAGCTAAGAGCGAAGTCGCTGACTACATCGACCACCCACCTCTCTGTCTTGCTCGCTCCCAGAACATGTCATCTCGAGGATGGAACTTTGTCTACTGTTCATACTGTGCCCGTCTCTGGAATGTAATGGAGGCTCAGGATGTAGCAGTTGAATGATCGAGTAGGAAGAGCAATTCTTTAGGGTGAAAGTTTGAAATTCACCGAGCTATTGGATAACAGCAAGCGACACTGTGTGTCTGTGGTTCCAGAGGGGCAGGAGTTTTTGAGCCAACTTGGGTTGTGTGAGACTCTGTCTCAAAACCCAAACCAATCAAAAACCCCAAATCAAACAAAAACCAGCGTTGATGTGCTTTTAAAATAACATCCCTTTATAAACCCATTTTCAACATTCAAGTCCAACTTTTAAAATTCGTTATTTGTAGACAATATTGAGTTTCAGTTCTTCTTAGGCACCGTGCTGTCTTTCCGGGGCGTTAGTGTTCGCCTAGGGCAAGCTGTTCTTACTAAGCCATTAAATAAAGCATGGAGATAAACTCAAAAAAAAAAAAAAAAAACAAAAAAAACCCCCCAAAACAAAAAAACCCCAAACCCACACGTTTTTGGGAAACTGTTTTCTTTTAGGGCTATCTGTCAGTCTGGATCATTTTGGTTAATAATGCCAGTAGACTTGGTTAAATATGAAAAGACTTAAAAAATTAAATTGTTGAGGTAAAATTCAGCCCCCCCGCCCAAGATTGCTATGTTTAAATTTTGAGAAAGCCGTTGTTAGTTTGGAAAGGGTGGGTGGACCACGGGTGTTTATTATTTGGTCATTATTTATTTTAATAATTATTATTAGGATTATTATTTAGTTTTTGGTGTTCTGGGACCCGAGGGACTGGCTTAGCTTTGCCTCTCTCCCTCCTAATTAGTGCTGGTTCCTCTGAGAGGCAAGGCTTTCTCTCTCGCAGCCTTTTAACTTTTTTCTTTCCTTCCCGTTTGAAAGGGGCCCCTCGCTGCCACTGCCACCGCCTCGTCTGTCACCGCGTGCACCCAAGCGCCGAAGGGAAATGCGAAGCGAGACAGCTGTATGCGAGGCTTTGCCTTTTAAAGAAGTCGACAGACAAATGGCCCAGGGGTCCCTGCTCTTGCCAGCTGAGGGCTTAGCTTCCAGAAAGCGCCCCTCTAGGGGAACAAGCGAGGCAGTGTGGAGCTGCTGAAAGGCCTCATTGAGGCCGCAGCCCGAGGCTCTTGTAGCACATTGTCTGGTATGCGGCGCCCTTCCGAAACCGCTCTCCACAGTTCTGCACCCCAACGCCCCCAAACCTCAGGAATAAGTCCTCCCCCCACCCGTTACACTTGGTGTTTCAAACGAAATTCTCAAAAGGTATTTGCTTTTGTTTGTTTTTGTTTATCTCGTGCCTCTGGGGCTCAGACATGATTCCCACGCTCACCGGGCTCAACACGTGGAAACTCGTGTCCCTGGTGTCCCTGAGGCTATGCTTGTGGGAACTGAAGTCTGGGCTGTGGCAGAGAGAGAAGCGCAGGAGTGGAGGGGGATGCAAGGCTTTAAATCATTCCCGCTGCTTCCTTAGCGTTCATGAAGATTCGTTTCGAGAGATTTAAATTTACACTAAAGAACAGCCTCCCTAAGATTTCCGAAGTTACTAAACTGCCATCAGTGAAGCTGCAGCACCATCCAGAGACAGTGAGGGCTCTCTTCCCAGGAAGACCTGCCAAAGGCTGGGAAACCACAGCTCCCATTAGGGTACTAATAATGTGCCAGACTTCAGAAACAATGTGGCCTGAGGCTCCGTGCTTTGAGGAGTCCAGAGCCATGGAGCGCATGGCCAGCTAAGGTCAGCACTCTACCTTATTCTCCACAGAGCGCGCCATGGTCCATATCCCCGCCCCCCTTACACTGCAGGAAGCTCCAAATCCTGAAAGGCCGGTCCAGGTTGCCTTGTGGTCTTTAGAGGGCAATTGAAGCAAATATATGTGTTATGACCTGAATCAGCAGGTCATTCTCCAGCGACAGGGTCCTGAGAGAGAGGACCAGAAGAAAGGAAAAGGAAAAAAAGAATAGAAGGCAGAGACGACGAAGTTTGGGGTCCAGAGGTCTTATACAAGCAAGCTATGTCTTACACCGACCATGTTCTTGGAGATAGAGAAGGAGCCAAGGGCCCTCTCAGTAACTCAGGGAGGGCCCCAGGGAATGCCTGGGTCTGCCAGCCCGGCCCTCAGCAGTGTTGAAGGACGGTCGGTAGCCGCTGTGCACGTCAGCGGCTGCTGGAATATCCGGAAAGCGTGGCAGGTTTTCAAGAGCATGTGGTCTGGACCTTGCAAAGATAACCTGATTTCTGGACTTTATTGTTTGGGGTGATACGCAAAAAACAAAAAACACAAAACACATCCCTCAGTCCGTGTATAAAGGAGGCTATAAATACATCCTGGAGCAGAGCATGTGTCTGGCAAGTGTCACTGTCAAGCAGGCTATGCTGGAGTGAGGGGCATTATCATGCTGAAAAGCCACTCCTTCCTAATTACAATGAAAGCCACCAGTCCTAGGGACTTAGGATGGAGTTCAAGTGTGCCATAGTTTCTCATTTTGCGATGCCTGTGTATGTGTGTGTGTGTGTCTGTGTGTGTGCCAGTGCCCGCGGAGGCTAGGAGGAGGCGTTGGGTTACAGTTTGTGAACAGATCACTGTGGGTGCTGGGATCTGAACTCTGCTCCTCTGTTGAAGCAGAGAGCACGCTTCACAGTGAGCTGTCTCATCTCCAAGCCTTGAGCTGACTGAATGAGCTCCTTAGGCCATTGTGCTGTAAAGAATACAAGTTACTTCCCGTAACTCTGCTGGTCTTAACGCCCCCGGTCTCTTCTCACTCCTGTGGCCTTCAGTTTCCTTCTCTTGAAGGATTTCTGAGAGCAAAATGACGCTTCACAATGAGGAAATGTATTCCTTTAACCAAAAGGAGACTGTGCTTCAGGTGGACAAACTGGGGAAGGGGGTGGTAGAAGGTGGTGTGAGGGGTGGGGGTAAGAGATGGGGGGATGAGGTGTTTATCTGTTGTGTGATATTTTGTTTGTGTTCTGACAAATAAATCTTGCCTAGAGATCAGAGGGCAGGGCAGCAGCCACTAGAATTCTTACCTCTACAAAATCTCAGACCGAATGGGGGCGATCCCGTCTCTATGAATCTTTAGGCTGAATGGGGGGGGGTGTCCTGTAGCCAGAGGCTTTTCCGCGTCCCTCCCGGTCCCATAATCACTTATAAAATAATCACTCAGAGCTTAATATTAACCATTAACGGTTTGGTGGATAACTCAGGCTTATTACTAGCTGGCTCTCACATATAAATTAACCCATTTCTATTAATCTGTGTATCCCCATATGGCCTGTGGCTAACTGGTAATGCTGTGGCATCTTACTCCTCCAGCAGCTGCTGGCCTCTCCCTTGACCCCAACTTCTTTCTCCCTGTATTCAGTTTGGCTTTTCCACTTACCTGTATTCTGCCCTGCCGTAGGGCAAGCAGCTTTATTCATCAGCCAATAAAAGCAACATATATTCACAGCATACAGAAGGATATCCCACATCAGGTTCCTGTCTCTAAGAATCCTCAGACTGAATGGGGTTAGCTCCTGTCTCCACACACCTTATATTTCTCTTTTTACCTCTCTGATGCTGGAATTAAAGGCATAAGCCTCCCACGTGCTGGGATCAAAGGCATGAGATTCCAAGTGTTAGAATTAAAGGTGTGAGCCACCCCTGCCTGGTCTCTATGGTTAACTAGTGGCTAGCTCCATCCTCTGATCTCCAGGAAAGCTTTATTTATCAAAACAGAAACAAAGTATTATACAACATTTATCTCTGGCCTCCCTCCTTGCACATTTGTTTTGGTAACTGCTCTCAGGCAGGCTGCAGGGTGAAGATGATGATGATGATGACGATAGCACCCCTCCCCCACAGCAAGTCCCATGAAAGACAGTGTGGGGAGCTCCAGGGAGCTGTGAATCCTCCGAAGGCGGGGGGACTTTAACTCATGGGCTGTGCGGAATATAGGAAATGGATTTAAAAATGGTGACCAACCTCATCGCACTGTGGAAATGGATTGTAGGAGAGGAGAAAGAGAAACCAAAGAATAGAATAGGGGGTCAAAACAGAAGATGGCTGTAGTGACTGAGGAAAGATGGCTCATAGCTTGAACTAGAATCCCTAAATAGTGGTTTTGGCATTGAAGAAGAGGAACTCAAAATCTTCAAACAATTGTCTAAGTCAAGACATGACTTGTGGATGAGTGTGACTGAAATGGTCAACTTTTGTTATATCAAACCCAAGCTCCTGAGAATAAGAAACCTCTGGAACAAAACAAAAACAAAAACAAAAAACAAACAAACAAAAAAGGTTATTGAGCCATTACAAATGGAGCCAGAAATGGCCATCCTGGGACAGGTCCCCACAGCAAGGCTAAGGGGCAGTTGGAAGCCACAGAACTGTCCCATGGAAAGCTTAAGAGAAGGAAATGCACACTGAATATACATACATTGCTTACACCCAATCTTCTTCCTTCTTTTCCGGTCGTCAAGACTGAACTCAGGCCTTGGGCATCCTGGGTAAGCACAATACCACACGGTGTTGAGCTGTATTCCCAAACCTTTCTGCTTTTTGTAGTCAGAATCTTTTGTTTTAGAGACAGGGTTTCTCTGTGTAACAGCCCAGGTGTCTTGGAGATCACTCTGTAGACCAGGCTGGTCTCGAACTCACAGAGATTTGCCTGCCTCTGTCTCCTTTGTCTCCCTGAGTACTAGGATTAATAGCGTGCACCACCATTGCCCGGTTTATTTTGTTCTTTTTAGTGACTGTCCAGTGGTACACCGTAGGAACGTGACTTATTTACTTACCCATGACTGTGTGCATGTACGAGGAATTTGATGGCCCACGGCTTCCACACTAGACAAGCACTCTACACTGAGCTACATGCTCAGCCCCTTGTTAGTGATTTTGTTTTGAGACATGGACTCATTATGCTGTCTAGATTGGTCCTGAACCTGCGATCTTCCTGTCTCAGTTTCCCAAGGAGTTTGGATTGCAGGCCTATCCTTCCAGGCCTGGCTATCATAGTTCATTTAATTTGGTCTCCAAACTGACGGACAATGGGGATGTTTCTAATTTTCAGCATTTGAAAATATTTTAAAGAGAGAAAAGACACCAACTAATGAAGGGAGAAATCAAGGCGGTGAGAAATATTTACACATTATGCAGAGAGCCCTAGCATTTCTACGCTGAGGAGCCTCCCCCCACCTGCTCAAGCTACAGAGGACACGCAGGGGGTGCTCATGCTCACCCTTGAGGCTTGTGTAGACCTGAGATGTGACGGAGGAGCTGGGCACTCCTCCCAGGGACAGACTGAAGCTGGCCACACAGCCACTCCATCAACCGAAGACCCCTTAGGAGAGGAGGCTGTCTCTCAGACCAGAACACCGACTACAATCCTCAGCAGGGTTCCTTCCCGAATTCATGGGTGACTCTGTGTTGGACTCATGTCGGCCTGCTGTTGGTGTTTCTGTGGACACTCTTGCCATAATAAGAAACATGTAATATTTAAAAAGCACACATTGCCAGGCGCGGTGGCGCACGCCTGTAGTCCCAGCTACTCGGGAGGCTGAGACAGGAGGACCGCTTGAGTCCAGGAGTTCTGGGCTGTAGTTCGCTATGCCGATCGGGTGTCCGCACTAAGTTCGGCATCAATATGGTGACCTCCCGGGAGCGGGGGACCACCAGGTTGCCTAAGGAGGGGTGAACTGGCCCAGGTCGGAAACGGAGCAGGTCAAAACTCCCGTGCTGATAAGTAGTGGGATCGCGCCTGTGAATAGCCACTGCACTCCAGCCTGGGCAACATAGCGAGACCCCGTCTCTAAAAAAAAAAAAAAAAGAAAAAAGAAAGAAATAAAAAGCACACATATACCCACAAAATAGTCTTATTGGCTTAAATGGACAGTTGTTCTGGGGACAGATGAGAAAACAGCCATTTGTTTAAGATCGGCTCCCACTAGTTCCTCCTTTTAATTTATGTCCATTGTGTCCCCTCTGGGCTGATGACAGAACCGGTTTTCGATGCAGCCATTCAGTGGTTGTGTGATCTTGGGTACCATCTCCAGTGCAATTCCCAGTTGGCTCAAGTTAATGAGCCAACGGATGGGAAAGGACCTATGTTTTATCTTACTTTTCGGAAAGTCTTGCTAGAATGGAATTTAGGAAACCAAGTGTTATTGAACCAGGCAGTGGATACACACATATTCCAGTCTTTCCCGGAATGTGGCTCTGTGTCAGCGTCTTACTGATCATCCCTAAAAATCTATCCATTAGGGAATTCTTACTATTATTTCTTTTTTAAAAAATGGTGTGTGTGTCTTCATACACATTCATACATTCGGTGGCCAGAAGTCAACCTTGTCATATCAGAATGACGCTGTTTTTCAGTGATTGTCCACCTTGCCAAATGAGACAGAGAGTTTCACTGGCCTTCCGTCAGAGTAGGCTAGGTTAGGCTGGTCAGTGAGCCCTAGGGCTCCTCCTGTTTCTGCCTCCCTAGTACATCAAGCATTTAACAACCCAACTGTCTTCTTTGCTCCAGATTTCTGTGTATGTGACAGCTCTTCATGGTTGGCAAAGGGACCTTAGCAAGAGTCCTATCTAATTGGACCTCCTGGCAAACCTCTGGAAGGCCCTCTTTGTTCTCATGTAACATGGCGTAACTGAGGTGCAGAGAGATGAAGATAAGGCGCCAAGGCTCGGGGAAGAAAAACATGTCTAAAAAGTAGCAGAGACCTTAGACCACTTCCAGACACTAGATGCCCCCAGTGGTGGGCTCATGTTTCCAATAACTGGAAATACAGTTACAGACTGAGGACACCTGAGTCCCCAGAACCCCCACATTTTATCTCTGCTCACAGTGAGCCTGTGTCGCAGGGCTGACTGGGCCTGTGGCACTGCCCAGCACATGCAATGCACAGTCAGCCCTGGAGGAGACCTGATTTCAAAAGCTGGGTTGCTACACACAAACTGCTTTTGCACCTTTATAACACAGAAAAAGCATGAAGCCTGGTGGCTGTGCCTCAAGACCGCTGCACTTCCAGGCCGTCAAGGTGAGGCAGCCTCCCTGCTCCCAGCCTGCCCAGGCGTGGTATTCCCAATCTGGTCATGGGACAACGTCACCTCTCTGCTGTGGTATACGTTGAGTCCCCCTGTGGTTGCTGACCAGAATTTTCTAGTGTTTATAGGAAACAGGTTTCAGGCCAGAGGAGGCCTGAGGACCCCTGGAGAGCTAAGAGTTGGTAAAACTTGTAAGTTGTCTGTGAAAGATTTTTTTTCTTCCTTTTTATTTTCTAAAAGTGGGTGCTTGCCAGCATGTGTGTCTGTGCACTGCGTGTGTGCAGGCTCCAGAGGCCAGAAGAGGATGTTGGATCCCTCGGGACTGGAATATAGACAGTTGTAAGGCACATGGAGGTGCTGGAAATCAAACTCCGGTCTTTTAGAAGAGCAGCCAGTGCTCTTAAATGCCAAACCATCTCTCCAGCCTCATGAAGAACTGTTTATAATCATTTCCTCTCCCTTTACCCAACTGAGAGGTCAGAACACACAGTCTGCTTCCACTAAAGGTAAACTGTGGGACAGAGCAAGTATATATATGACACACACACACAGACACACAGACACACAGACACACAGACACACAGACACACACACACACACACACACACACATATATATAGCCATGTTCTAGGCTCCTGAACGTACCAATGTCACTCTTTTGAAATACAGGTTTTAAGGGTCTCTGCTTACTTTTCTGAGGGACACGGGTACTGTGAGTGACCTGGATTCCATCTTAGAGATCCAGTTTCTCAAGAGCCCCTAGAACAGAGGTCTCAGCCTTCCTAACACTGCGACCCTTTAATACAGTTTCTCATGTTGTAGCGACCCCCGCCCCTGCAGTTATCCTTAAAGATGCATGTCATTTCTGAAAAACTCACATGAGCCCACGTCTCTGCACTTGGAGGACAAGGTGAGCGGGTCACTTGAGTCCAGGAGCTGGAGACCAGCCTTGGGGTGAGAGGGCGGTCGGTATACAGCATTTACAAGACAGTAGTTGTGTGAGGCAGGAAAAGCGAGTATGAGTAATTCCATTTTTTTTTGTTTGGAAGAGGAAATAGATTTAGGAATTGAGAATTATCCAGTGTCAAACAACCACTCAGAAGGAGAGCTCAGAGGGAACACAGCTGTCCAGACGGCGGCTTTCGCTTCTGCTAATATGCCTCATTATTTTATAGTGCTGTGTGATTCTCTCTCTTTTTTTCTTTTTTTTTTTTTTCAAGTCAAACTGGCTAACCTCTGCATTCACTTAGGTGCTCACTGCTTTCCTGCTTGTCGGGGAAAAGGATAATGAACAACGCTAACACGCAAAGGCAGGCATGCCTTTCCATTTGGAGACATTCTTTGCCCCTCTGTGTGTGTGGTCCTGGTCAGGCACTCTACCACTGGGCTGCACCCCTCATGCTTCTTAAGTTGATTTTGAGGCAGAGTTGTCACTATGCTGCCCAGGCTGGACTCAAACTTGGGATTTTCCTGCCTTGCTCAGCTTTCTAACTAGCTGGGATCGCAACAAAGTACACCACTGGGCTTGTTTTCCCTTTTCTTTAGTTTTTCTTTATTTTTATTTTCTGTGCATTTTTTTTTTTTTGCCTTTACGTATGTCTGGGTGAGGGTGTTGTGTCCCCTAGAACTGGGTTACAGTTGGAAGCCACCATGTGGGTGCTGGGAATTGAACCCAGGCCAGGTTGCCCGGAGGAGCAGTCAATGTTCTTAATCGCTGAGCCATCTCTCCAGCCCCTCTTTTTCTTTTTTCTTTCTTTTGGAGTGATATTTTGTTGGTAGTCTAACAAATAAAGCTTTCCTGAAGATCAGAGTACAGAGTTGCACCACTAGTTAGCCATGGAGGCCAGGTGGTGGTGGCACACGCCTTTAATTCCGGCAGCTCTGTGAGTTCAAGGCCACCCTGTGATAGATGAGATTGAGTTTGTCTAAAAGAGAAACAGCCCACACGAAGGTGATCCCAGCACTTGGGAGGTGGAGACAGGAGTGATATGGCTGGGTGGAGAGAGGAATATAAGGCGGGAGGAGACATGGGCAGACCCAGTCTGAGGATCTGAAGAGACAGGATTGGCCCTTTCGGTCTGAGGTAAGAACTCGAGTGGCTGGCTGCTCTGCTTCTCTGATCTTCAGCTCGCGTCCCTAATATCTGACTCCAGGTTTTTATTATAAAGAACAATTAGAATCCGCGCTACATTCTCTTTTCTTTAGTTTTCTTTTTGGTTTTTCAAGGCAAGGTCTCTCCCTATAAAATCCCTGGCTGTTCTGGAACTTGCTTTTATAGACCAGGCTGGCCTTGAACTCACAGAGATCCATCTGCCTCCCCAGTACTGGGATTAAAGATATGCGCTACCATGCCCAGCTGGATTTGGATTTGGCTTTTAATAAATGTAAACAAAAAAATCACATCTATCTATCTATCTATCTATCTATCTATCTATCTGTCTATCTACCTATCTTGTGTGTGTGTGTGTGCATGCCACACACAAGGGGGTGGTGTGGTGTTATGTGGAGGTCAGAAGGCAGCCTGCGGAAGTTGGCTCCCCTCCTCTACCATTTTGGTAGCAAGAACCTTTCCCAGCTGAGCCACCTCGCCAGCCCCTCATAAAATGCTTTGGCGATAGCTCCATGATAAGGTTTACCCCAATGTTACTGACCACACCAACGTCTATAAAAAGTGGGAGAAAGGGGCCACACACATCCGAATCCGCACACACTAGTGTGTACCCGGCCCCCTCCCAGCGGAGAGCATCCGAATTCTACCTTTCAACAGATAGCTGGCATTTTCTAGGCATGTTAACCCGCAGGAAATTACAGGCTGTCACGGTGCAGTTCAGATCACAGTGGTGAGCACACTGATGGTCCTGCCCAGCGTGGCTCTGGTTTCTTCCTTACCGATGCATTCACTGCATCTTAACTCAGCATCATGTGGGGAATAAAGAATTCACAATAATTTACTTAAACAGCCCTTCTCCACCCTCAGGATTGGACCTGGGGCCCTGCACATGCTAAGCAAATGCTCTTCCATCGAGCTATAGTTTCAGCCTAACAGTAAATTAAAATTTACAGTAAATTAAAAAACACATTATTTTGCTGAGGTCTTAGCGTGGTCTTGAATTCACCATGTGGACCAGGCTGGCCCAGAGCTCAGAGACCTCCGCCTGCCCCTGGGTTCAGGACACTCTCGCTTGTTCTGAAAGGCATTGCGGTCTCAGCTCTTCTAGCTGCTGATGGGTCTGTTTATCTCCGTCCTTCTGCAGAGCAGACTCTACAAGAGGAACGGGACAAAGAGACAACAGATTAAACAGGGCAGTGGGTGAAGGACTTTAAATTTAGAATTCTAAAACAACAGTATGAGGCCCCTTCATAGTGAAGTGAGGAATTAATTTTATCCATTGAGCAGTCTGGCCCTGACCCCTATCAACTGGGTGAGGCCAACCCTGACGTGAGAACTTGCCTAGCAGGTGCAAGATTCTGGATTTGATCTCCAGTGCTGAAAAAAGTATTTATTAATATTGTCATTATTGTTATTATTATTGTTGTTATTATTAATATTTGGTTTTTCAAGACAAGGTTTCTCTATGTAGTTTCAGTTGTCCTGGAACTCACTCTGTAGCCCAGGCTGGTCTCGAATTCACAGAGATCCTCCTGCCCATGCCTCCTGAGTGCTGGAATTAAAGGCGTGAGACACCACCACCTATTGTATATTTTATTTTTAATTGAGGCAAAAAACACCAGAACTTATAATCTTAACTGTACGTAGTTCTGAGGTATTCCACATATTCACAACTTGGTGCCGTAGAACCCCAGGCCTTGTTCACATCACAATAGTGAAATTAAATCCACTAGTAATCAACTCCATGTTTTCCTCTACACAAAAGCCCAGTGACTGCTGTTCTATTTCTGTCCTCTGGATTGGGCTCCTCTGACGCCTCATGGAAGCGGACCGATGAATGTGTGTCTTTTGTGGTGGTGTATTTCACGCAGTGATGGTCCGCCCGTGTTGTAGTACAACAGGGTTTCCTTCCTTCCAAAGGCTGCATACAGTTCCACCACATCATATCACGTTTGCGTGCATGTGCACCCGTGTGGGTGGAGGAGGGCAGCCTGTGTTATTCCTTCAACATCGGGATCCCTCAGCTAGGCCAGCTGGCTGGCATGCCCAGACCTCCCAGTGCCTGCCTTCTCGCGGCTGAGATTACAAGTGTAAGACACAAGTCCACTTTTTACGTGGGTTCTGGGGACTGAACCCAGGTCCCCCTGCTCCCATGGCAAGCACTTTACCAAATGAGCCATCTCCCAGCCTTGTCATACAGTGTTCTGCACATCTACTCATCCTGAGCCCTGGGGTTGCTTTTCTTCTTGGTCCCCATGAATGATGCACTATGAACAAGGGTGGACAGATATCTCTTCCAGGTCCTGCGTTTCATTCCCCAGAAGCTGCTGGATCACAAGGTGATTCTTTCCCTTTAAAAAACTATTTGAGTGGGTGCCTTGTGCTGTGGAATGATGCTCTTCTATCCTGTAAAGATTTTATCATTTGTATTGGCTTAATAAACGCTGATTGGCCAGGAGCCAGGCAGGAAGTATAGGTGGGGTGACCAGACTAGGAGAATTCTGGGAAGAGGAAAGGCTCAGTCTGCAGTCACCAGCTAGATGCAAAGGAAGTAGGATGAGAATGCCTCATTGAGTAAGGTACCAAACCATGTTGTTAAAATAAAGAATAAAATAAAAGAATTATGGGTTAATTTAAGGTATAAGAGCTAGTTAATAATAAAGCTTGAGCCAATAGGCCAAACAGTTCATAATTAATATAAGCCTCTGTGTTTCTTTGGGACTGAATGACTGCAGGACCAGACAGGACAGCATCTTACATTTACTAAGCCTTTTCTCTGTGTATGTGTGTGTACCTGTGCATGCCTGGTGCTCTCCAAATCCAGAAGGTCACCTGGAACTGGAGTTACAGATGACAGATGGTGTGAGCTGCCATGTGGGTGCTGGGAACTGAATCTTGGCCCTCTGGGAGAGCAACCAGTGCTCTTAACCTCTGAGCCATCTCTCTTGCTTGGTAGTGGAGCTGGAGTGTGAAGCCAATGGTTCCTATTAACAATGCCACCATTATCTCCATCTCTGGCCTGCAGATGCCATCACAAGTATAGTGACCATGGCGATCCTTACCAGCACAATTTTCAAAGCTGTGCTGTAGAGTGAATGGTGTGTATCCTATGACTCAGAATCCATGGCTAAGCCTTTTTTTCCTTTTAAAAAAGAGTCTCATGTATCCAGGCTAGTTACACATTTCATAAGTGGCTGAGGACGACCCTGAACTTCTGACCCTCCCCCTCCCCCTTTTGGCTGCTAGGATTACAGGCTGTACCACCATGCCGATTTTATGTAGTGCTGGATATGGAACTGAAGCCCTCGTGCACGCTAGGCAAGCACTCTACCAACTAAGGGGTCATTGGAAACTGGAAGTCAAAAATCTTAAAGTGCCCATTTTGGTGGCACATATCTGTAATTCTGGCTACTCAGGGGGGTGAAGAAGGAAGATCAGATCTGGGGAATCCACTGAGACGTTGTCTTAAAATGGGGAAATTAGTTCCCTGTTAGACATAGACTCAACGATCACCCAAGACAACATAGGTGGTTTTCCTTATACAGTTACAGGAAGGATCCCCCAGACCTGCCCCATTGTGTCCCCTGGCTGACAGAATGACAACTAGGACTAAGTCAGCATGGCTCAGCAGGAAGGCAAGGGACTAGCTAACACACAGCGTGTACCAACAGGAGTCAGGACTAGCTAATGCACAGCATGCATCAACAGGAGTCAGGACTAGTTAGCATACAGTGTGTACCTGCAGGAGTCAGGACTAGCTAACACACAGCGTGTATCAACAGGAGTCAGGAAGGTCTCCATGGATGTAGACTTTCATGATACTGGCATAGAGACCGGGGAGGAGGGCACTGCAT